CTGTCTGTCTAGCCGAGCAAACACTTCAAAAAGACTCCCACTATCAGACATCGACGATGACGTTGCGCACACTTTTGTGCATTTTCTTCATACTGGGATGTACCAAACCCTTAAATTGCGCGGTTTATCCTTTGAGGCTACGGCCATTCAAGAACACCGCCGCAGTCTTTTGGCCTACTCAGTGGCGAGAAGATACCGAATGGAGAATCTCGTATCAGTCGCCCAGCTCGAGATCACAGTCAAAGACAAGAGCTTGCCAATTTCCTCAGTTCTGGAAAACTTGAAGTTCACATTTTCAAACTTGGACGTTGAGGATACCTGGCTCGAGCAGTACCTCCAGCGCAAGATCAACGATGCCAACGACGCTGATGGAGCACTTCTGTCGAGCCCGATGCTGTCCGATTTTTATCAGCCAGGGTTCGAAAGAGCCTTATTCAAAAGCATCGCAAATCTCGGCAATAGAACTGGGATCTCACCTCAGGCAAGTGTCGCTGATCCAGAGGAGAATCGCGTTAGTTTTAACATATTCAAGCCGGACCGACTCCGACACGCCTCAGAAATGCCCTCACTTGGCAAGAAGCCGCTGTGTAGGGAAATGAAGCTCGAAGACGTGGAGGTAAACTGTGAGACAGGGACTCCGACGTAAGTTGTTCCAGGATGTATTATTTGAAAAGTATTCGTGTGCTGATAAAAAATCAGGCCAAAGAGCCCGGTTTCTCTAAAGGACCTCACAACTGCCATACCTCATGGTTACTCTGATGCATTCTTGAATGCCACGGATGAAACCTCATCTGTAGACGATCACTCTGAAGGATTTGTCGCCGTGTCAACACCTACAACCGAGACCGATTCAGGAGCTGTTCTAACCGGTGAAAGTAAAAATGATCGAGAGAAAACCGACTCTATCCTCGCACCAATCGAAGCACTCCTTGGTTTTCCTCTCTTTGAAACGCGCGGAGTCGTGCCTTCATGCCAGTCTTGTCAGCGATCCTGCGAGAGGCGAATAGTCAGGTCAAACAGTAGGAACCATGGTCGGCCATACTATATCTGCGTCGACTGTCCAGCATACGACGGAGTTCCGAACAATTTCGGCAACTGTGACCGATGGACGACCTGGGATGATAGCATCGGCGTGGATCCATCAAACCCCAAATGTTACTGTGGATTTCAGAGCCGCCAAGACCGTGCCTTGCATCGAAGCAAACGACCAGGAATGGGGTTCTGGACTTGCGCATCTGGGGCTTGCCAGTACTACTCAACATTTCGTAGCGGAACAGTTGATCTTGAGGGCGACCAGGCTAAGTTGGAGTACGACTCTGAATTTGAACCTTGGCTACTATAAAATTAAGCCTTCCCCTTTCCGTTCTAGCTTTGATGATGTAATCTGCGCTTGGTCAGTCCAATAATTGATGAATTAAGTGTGTTTGTTGTCTCAATGTGCTTAGTGTTGGAGCCCCAAGTTGCCACTTAATGAATGACTAAGCTAATAAACTTATCCAGTAACAAACAGGTGATTGAGCTCATTTTCCACCATTTACTTTTCAAATAAGGTTGAATCAGAGGAATCAACCATTGAACAATGACTTCGTCATAGAAAATGATAGTAGAAGAGAAACCAAAGTTCTGTTTGCACTTTTCGGGGATTTGCGGTGCCACGCGAACACTGCGCCCATCGCCGTACCCGAACCCTCATGTCGTATGTATGCCAACGACCAAATACTACTTGTTGCCTAATATTCGATTAAAGCCAAAGAAACAGTTACGGGCAATAAGGACTCACACTTTAAGACTTTCACCTCTTCCGTCCTCTCTTCGGCCGCCCCCAGTTTCCATGATATTTATTATGGATCTCACGCAACAGCCATTTCAGAAGCCGGCCTATGTAAGCATCTTCGGTCGGAAAGTATCGTCGGTCTTATATTGTATAGTCGTTCAACCGAGCCTCTGGTCTGAAACGGTGCACCGACGACTGGGTCCGCAAGCCGTCGAGTAGATCGACCAAGTTGACATATGTTTCGACAACCACATAAGCCAGCTGTAAGCCATTACACTCCATCTATGTGGCTACTAGAACACGCCTTAAGACGATCTTCCGCATTTGGTAGTATAGGTACAATACCTATTTACACACAAAGCCGGCCCCAAATCTTTATCTCTCGAAAGGCCCTTTTCAGCCGTCCAAGGCTCGATTGAACGAGCTTTTCATCCTCTTCCGTCTTAAGTACGATGCTTACTTTAGCTACATCGATTGAGTTCCCCGCATCGATTGACTTCCTTTATAGCTTCTTGATTCCCAAGCACTGACAACTACCGCGTAGGAACATCTCTTAAGACTTGCAAAATCGTCGGTGGCGTTGGTGAGATCGAGCTCGATCGTAGGCGGTATTACTGGAGGCTTAGGCTCGGTCGCATGGCTCGTGCTTACGAAAACAGTGGCAGTGGATGGTTGGCTTGCCGTGGTGGAAATCACAGTGGTCAGGGCATTCTAGAGACGCGAAGTACATCGCGACACGTTGGCGGTCGTGTATCCGCTCGCACTATCTTCTTTAGCTAATATTGCAAGGTCTGGGAAGTTGAAGCGGTGTTGGGAAATCCAGTTTATGACGGTCCCTTTGTTACGAGGTAATACCTGGAAAGTGCTGAGTCGAGATTGGTTGGTTTGCAGTAACCCCTCCTGTGGTGCAGGAGCTGGGTGCATCATGTAAGCAAATGGTCCGTGCAGTGACACGACAACACTATGGACGATCATAAGAACATCAAAGACCGCATTACTACTACCATCCCGCGACTACTTGGTCTATTTCAGCGACAAACAAACTCACACGAGCCTGGTAATTCGTTTTAGCGAATAGGCGTGCGCTACTAATGCTATTGATGTTGCTGTTGCTGTTTATCGTACTGGCACATCGTCTTCACATCTCAGGCTGCGAACCCGTCGTTTATTGCGCGTTATCTTGCTCAGCTATGGCTCCGCTATCTTCTCCCACTAGCCTCTCAGCTTGTTACGCCCCTCTGCCGCCCTTCTACCATGCTACTTACAAGCAGACATACGTTCGCACGCCCGACTTCACTTCGCGGTACAGGCCTGTCACTTTCCCTCTCCATCCTTCCCCTGTCTCCCTAGAAATGTCTTTTACTCTAGCTGGGATTTGATACCAGACCCTTCTGGAAGTCTCTTATTATTATTTCGTCTAATGGCATAGATGTGTAGCTTGATTCTCTTAGGTTCCCTTGAACCAACCCATTCAATCAATCGCACCCTTCGTTGCAACTCGCCTGACATATGCTGTGTCCGTACTGAGTCAACCCTTGTAGCGGTGGGTTGGAGTATATATCTTAGGATTTGGGTCTTTTGGTTAGGGGCTCTGCTGACGCCAAAAAGCTTGTTCGTTTTATTTGTGTGATTCGATGGCCTCGAATACTGCGAATCGCGCTGTCGTGGCCACGTAGCTCCGAACAATTTCCGCAGCTTGCACGTGAGCGCCAAGCTTACTGGCACGTTTGGCGCGACTTTCTCTCTACAATACACCACACTCCTCTAACAACATCCATCCTACAACGCCTTTCCTCATCTCTGCAATTTTGTTTCTCTTCTGTAGCGCACGCTCCATCCCGACTCGCTCGTTCACATCGCCGCTCGGCTTGTCTCCGCGTTTCCGCGCCTTCGCGTCTCCGCGCCTTCGCGTCTCCGCATCTCCGCACCGCCGCACAACCACATCTCCACCGACCGCATCGCCGCATTTCCATCGCTGCAGCAGCCATCGCCGTGCAATCCTCTAGATCGCGTCTCCGACAAGCGCAGTCCTCCAGCCGTAACCCTCCGCCCGCGCCGCAGTGTGAGACCCCCCTACGGTCGCCGCAAGGCGTTCGCGCACACACACACATAGACACACACACAGACGCCAGAGCTGCTCTCGCGCTTCGCAACAACCTGGTACGGCGGATGGGGCTGTGGCTGCGGTGCGCGCTCCTAGCGGTGAAATGCAGCGCCTTGTTTGTCGTCTGCGCCGTCTTTTTTTGGGACGCGGCGGACCAGATGGCCAAGGTAGCGTCACTCTGGGAGCAGGCCTGCCTTGTGCACCTCTTGTCCGGCGGTTCTGGAACGGAGGTGCAGATGCACCTCTCCATTTACGGGTCATTGAGACCCGTCTCCATCGTCTGGTGTTTGCGTGCCGGGCAGGGCCGGTCGGACCGACAACCTCCGAACCTCAACGTCCGGACGCGTGGACATTTCCGCTTGGAGGGGTTTCATCGCTTCTTCATGTCTTTACTTTAGTCCCGATGCTGACGGAATGTCCAGATAATGACAACTTACAACCGAGCCAAGACCGACGGTTAATGGTTGCCCCATCCCGAGTTTTCCACCTTCCGTGACCTTGATTCCATTTCTGCAACCACCCGTGTCAACTCATCATACAGCCCATTAAGCTAGCATTGCATTTGTCGTTATCTACCCAGACCTCGCAGTTGACCCACGCCATCTATCTCTCGTCTCGCCACGCGGCTACTGACCACGCTGTGCCATCTCTTCGCGTCGTTCGCTCAGGATCCTCACATGCACTGAGCTTCCTCTGCGGCTTCGTGACAGGTGACCAGTCGCTGTGCCAGTACCTCGCTGTTGACCCTCGCGGCTACCGACCACGCTGTGCCATCTCTTCGCGTCGTTCGCTCAGGATCCTCACATGCACTGAGCTTCCTCTGCGGCTTCGTGACAGGTGACCGGTCGTTGTGCCAGTATCTCGCGTAGGATTGGCGTGACCCTGGTTGACTTGTTGGGGTTCTATCTTCTGCGAAGCCTGGATTGCTTTGTGCGCATACCTTTCCTGAATCCGGACTCTGTGTTCTACGCCGGCTGCACTGGAACTCGTTGAGTCACGGCTACTCGCAAAGCCTGGGTGGGTGGCCGTCCGACATGCTCCGTGTCGGGGTTATTGTTTGTAGTCTTCTTTGAAGTACCAAACCTGACATTTACTTAGTACTCTCTACCGAGGAAAAGCTGCATGCTTGAGGCCATGGAGAACCTGAAGATCAAAAATGGCGCACTCGAGCAAATACTTGCGAAGCGAGTTCTTGTCGGATACGAAGACCCAGGAACTGGTAGCTACCAACATGTTGGACGCCTCTCGGATCCGCAAGATGCAGAGAAGATCAAGTTCAGTCTGCTCATCGGTCGTGATGTAGAGACGAAGCAAAAATACATCATCTACTTCCACCTGCCGTTCAGAACCCGCCATGTGTCCAAGAAGCCCAAGAATTTGTACCTCATCATCCCCGTCGAGCAACTCAAAATGTCTATCGATACTGTCTCTGCTGACAAGCTCCCGGTGACGACCATGGTGCAGTTGAAGAAAGATGATGGTTTGGAAGATTCCCGGTCTTTTCTCAGCATCAGATTGGATCTTGGATGCTCTTCTTACGCAGTAATGCCTACCTTATCAAGACCAATGGAGGCCCCACTAACCGGCGTACCTGGCCAACTGCTGTCGCACTTCAAATCCCTGTCAACCGTCAAATCTCTGGATATCTACCTCAACGACGGTGACGGGAACGAGGAACTTCTGGCATTCCAGGAGAAGCTTCAGACCAACTCACTCACCTCCCCAAGGCTAGACATGGTGCACATGTACGAGGGAAGTCTGGCTGGAACGAATAACTGGGACCAGTACCCCTGCGGCGAAGACGTCGGCAACCACATCGTTTGGAACCCTGTCCTTGAAGACAAGCCCCCAGCCTACGACGACGTTGTTGCCGAACCACCAGCAACCGGCTGGTCTGACAGCCAGAACGACCAGAGTTCCGACCACGTAAGCTTCGCGAAATCCCCCGGCGGCACCCACTCGCTGTACTGGCGCAACCGCCCTCAACCCCGCAGCAAATGGATTCGCGCCGTGGACGCCGGCCAGCCCGATGCGGATGCGATATCGCGCCTCCGCTCCCGGAAGCGCAGGGCAGTCGAAGAGCCCGGCCACGCGGACGAGTACCTATCACCGGGCCTCCGCACCGGCAGCCCCACCGAACCTGACAGCTCTCCCCTCGCTGCCATGCCGGGTGTAGCAGTTTCCATGGACAAGTCACCCAGCCCGCACGCGCAAGCGGTCCAAATGCACGAAGCCATCATAGCCTCTCTCTACCGCCGCAACACCCTCGGCGCCCTCGAACTTGACTTCTCGCTGCTAAAAAAGCCAAGCCTCTTCATCGAGCTCCAGGAATGGCTGCTCAAGATGTGGGAGTACGACCACCACGCGCATGCGACGTATGCCCGGGAACTGTTCAAGCTGGGGTCGTACGCGCGGCTGAGCAAGCTGCGGCTATTCGATGCGGCGATGGCCGAGTTGCAGGAGAAGTTCTTCAAGGCTGTGACTGACTCGATTGCGCCGTGGAATCAGAATCAGGCGAGGGCGGATTTCCGGGAGCAGTGCGGGGGTGTGGCAGAGTGGTTGAGGGGCAGCGTTTGTCGGAATGCGGTCATGTTTATGGCGAAGCCATTGGTTGATTTGCGGAGGGCGGCGGCGGTGGCGGAGAGGGAGGGAAAGGGGGAGGGGGGCAGGATGCGGGCGTTTTATGAGAGGAAGGCGGAGTGCTGCGCTATTGCGTTCTATGCGTTTGGGGATGTGGTGTAGTTGTTTAGGTTTGTTCACTATGCTTGAAGGCATAAGGCATGTCGTGGAACTGGTAGCACGACGTATTTTTATTATTACCGGTACCTGCCTGTTGAGAGTAGAGGACTTTAGAAGTGGCGGGGATTGGCATGATGCCTCCGGCTTACTTTTAGTCAGCTAATAAAAACAGTTGTGGCTCCATCGTGTAGATACGTTCCTGTTGGCCTGTCTGTGCCAGGGCATGGTTTCCACCAATGGATGGATCCGGTGATACGATGAATTAGCAATCATACATTTTGGAATGTATTCATCTCATTATAAATGAGCAAAACGTGTATAATTGCGTCAATGCAATGATTCACGTCCACTTATACGTAGAGCGAAGGGGAACAGAAGCCTTTCCTGCTTTATATGTTGTCAATGCGACAACGAACCCAACGCAGAGTGATGCTTCAGCAATTACTAGCATCCGATAGGCTCACTACCAGGCCTCTGTTTTGGCAAGACGCCTTACCAAGCAAGACAAGATCATCTTGCAAGACGATCCTCCGCCGGCGTCTTGTATTACAAGACGATCTAGCTCTAGCGTCTTAGTAAAACGCGTCTTATCTTAGTGATCTTAGACTAAGACGATTTAAGATCATTTATATTGGTAATATATAATCTAACTAATTAAATAATTCTTGCGAAGACAAGGAGAAGGATTAAAATATATTATTATGTATTACGTGTGTAAAGCTTAACTACGGCATAATAAGACTAATTAACTAGTATTTCTTAAAACTTTAAGAGCAATATATGTACAGATATTAGTTAAGCGACGCTACTTCAATTGCTTCAAAAGGGTCTTGAGCGGCAAATTTTACTGAAATGTCAGGCGCGCAGTGTATGGTGATCGCTTTACGATAGCATGTAAAAGGGAGTTGGTAATATGCCATGGGATCGAATTATTTCCCTGAAGAAGTATTCTCCGTTAGCCTGCAGATGCATATTCTCCGCTTTGTCACCACTGTTAGGTTCTCCACCTTTCACTCACATCATAATTGGGTAGGCGGTCCAGAGGCTCGAGCGTGCCAAATCAGCCATGCCGCGAAATACCTCCCAGTGGCTTCCGCAATGGCCTCCTTGACGGCTCTAAACTGTGATAGTTGGACCCTATGAAACGCTCTCTCTTCCCAGATTGTCAACTCTTTACGCAAAGGGAAAGAAAGGTCCCATCGATAGACTAACCAGTTTAAAAGCAGAAAGATGTGGTCGGCGAACAGTATTCAGATAAAAAAATACCATTCTAGTCTAGTGATATCTGAAGAGTGTTAGAAGCAACATCATTAAAAAAACTACAAAACTACCAGCGCCAAGTACGATCTCCCAACCAGTTCATATGAGCTTCCTGACTGCTACAGCTATGCCGATAAGAAAAAATTTTTTAAAGAAACCTTCTTAGATCAATATATTCTTCGACATACAACCCATGGAACTTCCAATCTCTAAGCTGAAGGTTGACTTTGTAAGACTGCATGGGCCTGAGGTTCCTAGTTGAGCAACCAGTAAATCCGTACCAACTAATATTCTCAAGACTTACTTTTACGATCGGATGTGGCTAAGATAGCCATAGTTGCTCAACATATTTTGAGACTTAGTGGCAGAGGGATATTGGAAATTAAAGGACAGGAGTACTACGTTCTTGACGAAATTCGCGCTTGGTCGGTCAAATATTTGATGAACTGAGTGTCTTCCTTGTTATTTCAATCTATTTGGTGTTTACATCTCAGGATGAGTGAGTAAGCTAATAAACTTATCCAATGACAGACAGCGAAGGTGATTGAGCTCATATTCCATCAGCTTCTAATCCAACTCCCACTTCCACATAGACGACTGCCACGGCAGAGAATGGTAGCATTTTCAGGCCTAACCTTGCGACATCGACGATACGCGCGCAGCAGCTGCTGTCGCTCTTGCTGTAGCATTTCGCAGATGTAGCAGACGTCGCCTACTGCTGCTGCTGCTGCCGCCGAAGCACCCGTATAAGACGCCGCTGAAGTACTATCGTGGCTTCTTTACACGTCCGAGCTAGCTAAGACCTCTCCGCCGATCGGCGTTGGAGGTTCAGCATATCGTGACGCCACCGGCCATCCACCCGCGGCACGCAGCTGAGCGAAAGGAGCTTGTCGTGCTTGTCCGCGCCCTCGACGTTGTCGATGTCACAGATACCGTCGTGGTCGTGTCTGAGAATATTGGACGGATCCATCATCACCGCTACAACCCCGCGTTGGTGAGCAGTCCCTTCAGCGGCGGAATCGACAAACTTACCACTAAGCACCGGATCCCGTACCACCGGCCTCACGACTTGGCTTTGCAAATAGTATACCGCGCCACCCGTCAACGTCAACATCGCGTTCAAAGCCAGCCACAACCAGACTCTCCAGGCCGTGACCTCTGCCTGGACCAAATGAACGCGTTCGTACGCAGTCGTGGTCAGCTTATCCGGGCCGTTTAGAAAATACGTCGTCGCGCTCCATACGCCCTGGTATGCTACGTCCAGGATGTTCTTGACGTAGTTCTCGGACCCGTTCTTGAAGTCCCATCCCGTTCTATTCATCATGTTGACCTGCATGACGGTCTCGGGGACCAGTGCAAGAGAAAATTCAACAAGCGGATCTGGTCCTAGAGTGTCGGGCTTCTGGCATTCTGCAAGCGAGTCGGCGACTATCCTTGCTGAGTCTTGGCAGGAGACAACGCCGGCCTCGAAAGTGACGTTTGCAACGGCGATGCAGTATGTCTTGTTGTCATTGTCTCCGAATGGCCTCATGTGGAGATATTCTCGAACTGGTAGGTCAGAAGGCCTGTCGGTCACGGCTGTAGATCAGCGTGGAAGACCGTCGTTTTCTGGGTTGTGCTGGAAAACATAAAGGGCAGCAAACGTCTGCGCTGCAACCGTGTGAGGTTGCGGGAGCTTCTTCGTAGGTATACTAGAAAAGTCATTTCGGCGTGTCAAAGCCACTGCACCAGAGAAACTGTACAAAGGATTAACACTTCTGCTATAGTTGAACCAGCCGGAATCGCGCTCGTGAACTGCTTTCTTGATGTCCTGTGGTACTGATTGTAGAGTATCAAGCCAGTTGAATTCAGAGATGCGTAGGTGAGGCATTTTGATGTTCTCCAGAAGACTGCCAACAGGGATCCCTCGGAGTTCGGGAACAAATCTGCGAGGATGCTGTAATAGTTTCTTCCCTCCAGAGATGTCGGCATTCATGTCAGCGATCGTTGCACCTGTTCCTCTTAGAAGCTGGTTGCTTGGTGACAACCGTCCAGGTTTGAAAAGAAGGAGGCGTGTCCAGCTACTCTCTATTCGGGCCGGGACAAAAGCCGTAGTCACTTGAGCAGGTCTGCCCTGTTGTGACTTCAGGCTGTCGTCTGGAACCCATGAAATTGCACCAGACAGAACTGGTGCAGCCAATTGGGCAGACCATGCGAGGATCAGAGATAAGGATATCCATGCGATCAGTCTGCTCCGAGGAGCAAGAGGTCCGATATTGTACGAAATCTGAGTCGATAGCTGAGAGAACGTGAGACCTTTGCGTTCAAGAGCGATGAACGCGCAACGCCAGGCAAGCATGCCCTGCAAAGTTGAACAAAAGATACCAGTAATCTTGAGGCCAAGTGAGAGAAGTGTCGACACGTCCGATTGTGTGAGGAGATAGCCGGCTGTCTTGCGCACTGGGAATGCACGCTGGTTGAGCAGTGATCCCAGGACGACTATACAGATAATGATGGACCAGAGAAGGTGAACAGAGAAGTACCACCATGCTTTGATGAACGACCAGTATTTTGAAGGGGTTTTTAGTGGCTTGCACTGATGCTCCTGTGTGCGCATTGTCTCGTCGGTGTTCGAAAGCATGTATTCGTGCTCTGACATGGTTGTGATTTCAATGAAAGTGTTGTTCAGGATGACAATGGGATAGGGTTCGGGCGTAATGGAGACTTAGAAGGGTTGAAATTCAAGGGGGATTTATATATTCAAGAGATTATCGTAGAGCTCAACTCACAATAGCTACTGAACAGTAATTTTTAAGCGCCTGCGAGGCTTTGTCCATTGTCTCCAGCCACAGTAATTTGCGCGTGACAAACTGTTTCCTATTCTGATCATGATGCCGAAAGATTTAGAGAATGACATCTCGTTTTGTTTCATTCTGGGACAATCTTGTCCAATACTTTCATTCTATGTAGCTTCTGATACGTGGTTCTTGATGAGGCGGCAATTTAAATCATACACTACATACCGTTCACTTTTCGTCTTGGCGGATCCTTTGTTTAGTGTGGCGTCTATTGCCGCCGCAATCAAGTGAAAGAAGGCGAATGTCTCTGCCTTAGCCCCTACTTACAGCGGCTAAGGTCTGAGCATGGACATACATACATCCAGCTGAGGCTTGACAATGAAAGAAAAACGGCATTGCTGTGCGTAGAAGGTGGGTAGCGGAGAATTGGTCTATCTATCAGCTGGTGCCTCACATTTGCGCCAGTAAACAAGCCCGAGCAAAAGACAACGGGGGGTTGCACGCTAATCGGAAGGCTCTGTAGGGATGCGCTACACCTAATAAAAGTGATCGTCATGACCTGCAGCTGAAGGTTTATTAATAGATATATGTAACGTCACACAAGCGAGTGCATCACTCCAACAATTAAAACCACTCAAATCCTGAATAACTCCACAACGCCCTGCTGAATCAGCTTGCTATAACATATATTTCACTCTGTAGTATCTCTTGCATCTTTTTGACATTTGTGAGAACTGTGTCCAGTTTCGCTGTATTTTCAACATCACCGATGCTTCACTGCAACCCTTCTTGACCGTGCGCTACTCTGGCGTATTTCCTGGGAAATCTGCTCAGAATAGCAGCTTTATTAATTAGGTACTGCCCTTTCTGAACTGTATGAGCCCCTAGTTTCTTAATACGCTTTATTTTCTTCCGCACTTTCTGCGTTGTGTTGCGATCTTATTTGCCTAGTGAAGATTCGCGACTTCCGCCTGTAGAAGAACAGCCCAATGCGCTATTATTTGAGCCCCCTTGGTACGCTGATCAAGGGCCTTATTGATTGGTGCTAGTGGGCTATCTTGATGTCTTGCAATTCAGCCCTAAATCAGCTTAGTCTGATGGGCCAACTCGGCTAGGTTGTGTGGTGTTTGAGAGTTCCATCACTTGAGGGAGTGTTTGCGTACGAATCTTGACGTCAAGCTTAGAAGTTACGGCTTCTGAATCGAGTGGAACTAATCTTGCACCTCTGAATCCACCTGCTATGTTCTTTTGCGTAAACGAAGCTTCAAATGCAGCTTTAAACGCGGGGAGAAACTCGAGCCTCGTAATGTGGTTGATGTCCGCATTAGTTCTTCAACTCGCTTTCCGTCCGCCTTCTTAAGTGGTGCAAAACAGCCTAAATCAAGCGGGTGAGAAGGCGGGATGAATGCGCAGGCATGTAGAGCGTGATAATCTTGTGTTCCTGGCAGAAGGCGTCGAACTTGGCTGAATTATGGTTTGCGTAGCCGTCAAGGATCAGACGTCACTATGCTCCAGTTGTACGCTCCTTTGTGTGCTTTTCGAAGTGTTGCAGCCACTGCAGACCAAGCTAACACATATGGTCGAATGAACTCGACCCTCAAATTAATTGGACATGGGTCCTACTTTAGTACTAGCTCTCCTGTCTTCTCCGCCCTTTTCTCGCCCCACTAAATTTCTGCTGCTCGCCTTTCGTCCAACCGCCTATTACCGAGAGTAGTAGAATGGAGTTTCTTCCGTCTCAATTCATTATTTTATATACTTGACTTGATCCAGACCTCTAAGTGTGTCGCGTCCGGGCGCGCAGCAGACGCATAGATGCCCTCCGCGCCTTTCATCTCTCTCTCCTACCTTTGCTATTAACTTCTTTTCTAGCAAGTCTTACCTCTAGACCTCTGCTCGCTGCATAAAGCACGTTTGACAGAGATTGACTTCCTCGATTACCGGAAAAGACTATAGCATGCTGATATTCAACTACGCGCCTTCGCCTTTCCCAGTAGCCCACTCGCATTTGCCTGGCTGAACCAACTTCGGTCGATTGCCTCGGTCTTACGCTGTAAGAACAATTTCGGTCGCATTTGCGTCCGTATTTCAGAGTGTTGGATTCGATGAAAGGGATTTCTGCTCTGTATAAAGCGTGCTGGGCGTTGGATGAACCGAAATCTCAATGCAGGTTAGCGTGGATCAGCGCTCCTTGTACCTGTACTGCCTCCTGCTACTTCTCACCCTATTTTGTAGGCAACGCGCGGCAATATTCTAGTACTACACATTGAAACAGTCATCTTAGGGGCCTCACTTGATGTACGTGCATCTTTGAATCGTTGCCGAAGGTGATGCTGTTAGACGACAGAACGGTGAACGTAACAATAGCGAATGCTGTCCCTACCGTCACTAGAAGCGCAAGACCATCTTGTTGGGGCACATCGCAGTCGGTTAGACGCAGGCTCGGCCGCAGTGCTAGCCCGGATATTACCGACCACCTGGAGCGGCACGCATCGGTGACACTCGTCGGAGGCCAGACGGTCTCTTATCTCAGAACGCGACGTGTTTGCCGTGAACATGTCAACTCCACACTAACCCCCTAAACATCCAAAGCTTTTGGTCATTGATGGGATTCGGGCCTGTTCAGTCAAAAAAATGGATGATTGAGTGATCGCAACCCACGACTGAAAGCTCAGTCCTTCTCAAAGCAAACAAATCCCTTCTCTAACCAGCCGTCACACCGCTACAGGGACTGACAGCACTCGGGAGGTGGTCATGAAGGGATGGTATGAGAGGGGTATATGAAGGATGGCTCTATGTTATATTTCTTTTCTCACCTTTCCTGCGTGTTGCTTGATTTCCTCTACTTGTACTCTCGTTTGCGTCTGCGTTTTGGATCGTCGGACTAGAAGAGACAGCTTCTTTGTATACAGCGTGCTGGGCCTCGAATGAACCGGGATTCCAATGCAGCTTAGCGCGGGTAGCGTTCTTCGTCCCTATGGCCCATGGAGGCCGATGGGGTGTATGAATCATCATCATCATCATCAAGAGCAAACTCCTCTGCTCTGCTCTGTGGCAAACCATGCCAAAAAAAACACAGAGCATACAGAGCAGCGTAACCAGATCGTCAACTCTCCTATATGTATATCAACCACACTCCTTAGATAGCTTTGACCTTTGTGGTCAACTTCCTGAATTTACTTCAGCAATAGAATTTGGACTCTATTGGTAACACGGCCTTCGCATGCGCAGTGCTCAGTCGCGATACTCACCCACTTCGTTCTCGCCCTCTGCTTGTACCCACTCAAGGAAAGCCCCTTCGACAGGGCTCCACCCTCTTTGGTGTTTGGATCCTTAGAGGCAGAGGCCCGCTAGCAGGGTACAGGTTACCTTTCTAACCAACCGTTGCCGTTCGTCTGGTTCTCTGCCTGGCCTTTAGTATAGCTAAACCGCCTTCTTTGCTGCCTTTCCTGCTGCTTCGTCTCCCTTCAGCCCTGAATGGGCTGGCACCCAGACGAACCAGGGTAAGTCCTTGCGTGGCAGTCTCTTCTATCACCTTATGGATCTCTCACACGATGTGTTGTGTTTCTGTCCGTCGTGCTCGATCCTGGTTTCCTCTAGGTCCTTCTGGCTGTTCTGTAGTCTAAGCCGTGCGCGGGCGGCTGGAGAAACATTAGATTCTGCCGCTGGAAGAGCAGCTTTCAATTAAGCCAACTTCATTTGTTGCTCACGTGATGCACCCAGCTCCTGCACCATACGAGGAGCAGTTACTGAAAATCATTCGAGCGGAAATAGACCAACACCTGAATACAACTCATTGCAATGGAGAGAAACCACCAGAATCACCATGCTTCGGTGGGTGAATTTCTCGACCCTATAGTGTCGGCGGACGAAGATGATGAGGATTGGCGCCGACATACCAACTACCGCGCCGTCCACACCGGCAAATCAACAGGACATTGAAGGGCTCGCACGACCACCGCACCTGAAGTGCCTACAGGTTCGACCTTAGATTACGTAATTGACTTGCTCAATGTCATCGTTACACAGATGACTGGCCTGCCGAGCAGAATCAAGAGCTTGGAGACAAGAGCAAGCGCTTGCGCGAGACGTCTGAGGCAATGCAGGTCAAGATGGAAGAATACATGAAGAAGACGGAGAAGCAGATGACGACACTCGTGGAATCGATGCGCAGGAATCTGAGCTCGCAGTCCCAGATCAACGCTACGTACGCGGATATGCTCTGAGGAGCTGATGAAACTCGGTCATACGAGCCTCAAAATGGGAACCAGTCCACGAAGCTGATGATGAGTTTCTTGGTAATTCTTCTAATTAACGAGTAGCGTTAGCTACAGACATTTACACTACAAGAAAGCTTAACCAAATCAGGAATCAGGCAGTGATCAGCCAACGATTGGGCTCACATTCCATCAGTCTTTCCTCTGCTTACCATTGGGTAGTATATACCGTCATCTACCCCCGGAATGCCGGATAAGTAGGCTTGTAACATCAGTCCGGACTTTTTATACATGTCTGGTACTTGTTGTCATAGTAAACAAATGCCCAGTCGTATGAAACACCTGCTGAGGAAAAGTTTGAGTTCTCGTAGAAGACATTTTGTCATTGTCGCTACACAATAATCCTCCCCTAATTGACTGCATAAGAATCATTTCTCCAGTGCTCCTCTGCCCATTCTAGAAGATGATCCCATCACCATCTCCCCACCTCTATCAAGATCTTGAGGAGCCTGCACCCTACTGCTTCCTACCGCAAGAAACCCAGGCTTCAGGGTCAGCATCGCGCTTGACTTTCCCGCAAGAAGCCCAGACATAAGCCGGCGCCGCCTCAGCGGCGTCACGCTTGTCCTTGCCGGCGCTGACTGAAACGTAGGCGGGAGCCTCCTCGGCGGGAGCGGCGGCGGCGGCGTCACGCTCGTCGACAACGGCATCGATGATGGGGTTGGCCTTCGGGTCGGCGATGGCGGCGGCGATGGCGGACGCGATAAGGGCGGAGAGGGTGATGGCGGTGGTGAACTTCATTGTTGTTGATGTTTGTTCTTGTTGTTTGTTCTTGTTGTTGTGTTTGGGCGGGTTTGTGCTGCACGGGGCGGCGTCAGTGGTTGAGTCCCCTTGTTGGTGTTCATATAACGGAGAGCTTACTGTAGTAGAAAGATCTGGTGCCGTCACTGGGAGATGAAGAGAAGAGCTGGTGGAGCGATGATGAAGCGTTTTGGAGGCGTGAGAGAGGGGACTTTATACCACCTTGCTTCACTTCGTGATAAGTGCCTCAAGTCATTCTAAAATTTCCTGCTGACTATCCTCGGAGTGCCTTCAGATGCATCTGGAGCTTCTAGCGCCGCACTGCTCGTATCCCAACGACTACTGCTATCCCCGGCGGTCACGGACGTCCAGACAGTCGTCAAAGATCGGTTCCGCACCTTCCAAATTGCAACAACGCGAGGGATTCTGCAATAGAGCTGTGCTACATTACGGTTCGATTCTGCACCAAGATCCCCAACATTGCGTGGTAGATGTTGGTGGCTTGAAGTGAAGCGGCCGACTTAACCGTCTCCCTAGGGATCATTCTCCTGATTTGGCAAGAGTATGGGATATGTTTGGCTAGTATTTCTGGTTTAGCAACGGTAGAGAATATGTTTAGCTCCCGTTCCTGATTTGGTAGGAGTAGAAAATATGTTTAGCTATCATTCCTGATTGGTAGGAGTAGAGAATATATTTGGTTATTATTCCTGATTTGGCAAGAGTAGAGGACATGTTTAGCTGTCGCCGGTGTTTGAGAGAATGGTCCGTAGCTCTTATGCGCTGGCATACCTACCATCCTTCGCGTGGAGTGCTAGTGGGGAGTTAGTGGGGATCAATCCACGCGGATGGCGGTGCGTGGGTGGTGAGCTGGGTCCGGATAGTGCACGTACTCGGGTGTACACGACCGGTGATATGCTTCAAAAAAGAAATGGGAACGTCGGCTGAGGGCCTGATTGGCTGGACCGGTGAAACATGTGAGCTTTGGATATCCCAGTAGTCTGCGTATGAGCAAAGCGAACGGGCCGAGCACGCAATTCGGGGGCGTCTCGGAAACGCTGTGTATGCAGGTATGGGCTGGTTTACGGGCTCACCGGCAATGGCGGCGACTGGTGCTCCGCATGCATGCAACGTGCCGAGCCGAGAAATGTAG